AAACAATGGAGAAAGCCAACATCTCTCAGTGGTAAAGAGCGAAGAAGCTATCAGATAATTTTTTTATTAAGCATCTGCAAAATTTGACGTTTAGGGAATTATGTACACTTTATGTATTGAAATGAATGCGTTGTGGTAACGTTTGATATATACATCTCCTGCCCCGAACATAGCTCTAGACCAGTTTGTTTTTGTCTCCCACAGAAGTTGATAAGACAGGTAAAACCGAAACGCGTTCATATAACTATCGTATTATCACGTAGTACTGCTTTCAAGATTTTTTTGATATCTGTGAATCCGACGTGCCCACTTCAGTCTGAATTATGGAAGGAAATATGGCCCACGTCTTGTTATTCTTCACTACCAGAAACTTCCCAATCAAACCTCGGCATCGTTCAATGTCAATCATACAAGCTTCATTAGACGTCTTATCTTTTCCTTAGGTCGCGTTCTGTGTTTGTGTGTACGGAGGCCATGAGTTCCCAACCTTGGCCGTCCAGTTTATGAAAATCAATGACCCGAGGAATGTTTCTTATTTTCTCTATCGCTTTTGTTGACGATAGGAACTGATTTCTGTCTATCTTTCAAAAAGAAACGAAAAATAAAGAAAACAATCTGTGAAAATTAGTAATGGGTTAACCTCATTCCCAGTTGAAAGGCTTTCGGCATGGTATTTTTAATGACTAAAGAAAAAGCACTATTTTCACCGACAATCTCTAGTTTAGGTTTTGCTCTTTTTTATGCTGCCGTATCTGAAGAAGCCAAATTTGGATAGCATTCCATTCCTTTACTTTACCTCTGGGTATTTTTTGCAATAATTATCGTGACATTCCTCTTTTAAGCAAAGTTTGCAAATATCAAAGTACATGTTAACATGTTAACATTGTCAACACAATAGAGTCATTTGACTTCACGTCATTTTAACAAGGTGGTTCCTGGTTTGTCCATGATCTGTTCAAGGCTCTCACGAACGATGGAATTTTAGTATCTTATACCTAAAAGTGGACACTTCTTGTCGCACACCCAAAAACAATTGAACATATCATCAAATGTCCGTGATTATTTGAAAACTGATTTTGTAATTTATAATTTCTTGGAAAAACGAAATGCTTAGTTATCAAATTAAACTAATATGTATAAGTTGTCAGTTTATGTTTATTTTAAGATAAAAAAAATCGTTTTGTCATTTTTCCATTATTTTCGAAGTTTATACAAAAATCACTTCGGCTATACAAACATTTGTACCTCAATCTAAAATCAAATAAAATCTTTGAATAGTTGGAGCACTTATTTTGACTGATAAACTTTTTCTCGCGTGGATTACACAATTCGAACTAGTTATCTAATCATTATAGATATGAATTGTTCCAAACCAGCTTTAGCTGCACTTAAAGCATTTCAATAACATGTAGTCGTACTTTAGAACCACTAGGTAAATCTCCACATGGACACTTGATAACGATAACGCCGTCACTACCTCAATCTCCCCCTTGTGCTATCAGGTCGTTATATATCGTGCATCTTTGTGCATTTCATGTTCCCATATCTAGCAGAGGATTCATTTTCATTCCAAAACGCTCCATTTAATTTTGAAGTAGTCACGAAAAACCAAGCGTCCTTGAGCTTTCATCTTCTGAAAAAGAAACGTCCATTGCCCTTGCTGTACTGTTTAATACGACTGAAGCGTAGAACAAATTGCGAGTCAAATTGTGATGTTGTCGTGTCCTAGTTCTCACTGGCTTCGCAGTCAACCCTCCGTACTTTCAACGAAGGTTTTGTTTTCAGACTTTCCATATCTTCTGTTATCTTTTACCCGTAAACAACAGTCTTTTATCGGCAAACGCTGTACCAGTTAGGTTTGTTTAAATCTCGATCTCAGTGGTACTGAAACGTCCAAATTATTTTCCTTCTTGTTAACGAAATACATTTGTTTGTTTTGTCTATTTTGGTCGTCCTTCGTCTGTCTGATGTGATATATCGGCGTACATTTGAACAAACTTTCAGCGTATCATTTAAATTTTTCGTTGGGTAATGGTTTACATACCGCCGGTCTTAGTAATGATGAGTGCGGGTACACTGCATTTCATTCTATACATAATATCGTATGATAAATTCCGAACCTTAGAATTTTATTCGAATAAACGCAGGTAAAGTTTTATCGAATACATATCTCGAAGTGAATACGTGGTATGGAATGTCATACAATAAACAGGATTAGACATTGAACCATATAAACGAAATATTCCATATCATAAGTCATTCTGTCTTAAACAAAGTGATTGCAACATATCATGTCTGTCGATATTAAAGATATTCATTATGTCTGTTTATACACCTTCTTTATTTAAAAAAGAAAATGATGTATAGGAAGGTTAAATTTGGTATCATTTTTGTAAAACAACAAAAAAGAACACAAAAAGGCTTTAGAACTACATTATTTTGGGACTTTCAAAATATACTCTTAATTTTGATAACATGTCGGGTCGAAGTACCGATCGAGATGACGTCATCCAAGTTTCGACGTCTTTACAGTGCGTTTTAGATACCATCAGTAGATACCTGAAGCTCTTTTCACGAAACAAGGAAACACGATTTGTCTCCCTTTATATATTCCAAACAGTACGATACAAATGACAATAAAAGGTCCTGGCTAGCCTCGTTACGTCTACTGTAGCATTGCTGAAACTGCACTGATAATCATCAGGATGGGTGGGTGGATGGATGGAAGGATAGATAGATAGATGGATGGATGGATGGATGGATGGATGGATGGACGAAGTAATGAAAAGATGGAGGAATGGATTTGATGACTGGATGGACGAAGGGATCACAACAAAATAAGAAAATATAGGAATAAGTAAAGTACCAGCAAAAGTTTCAATAAATACATCGGTATTTATCATTTACTTGCTAAACCTTGTATAACAATAATAATAATAATATATAAAGATTTACTTCAATAACTACAAAATACTAGAAATATTGCTTTGATAAAACTTGTCATCAACACCTCTGTCCTCTATTTTCCTTTATTCTGATTTTGTTCCGATCGTTTGAGATAGATATTTCGACCTCCCCGTCTTTTAGATTCTATTTCTTAATACTCATAATCATTTGATCTGATATTCTTAGATTTTCTCCAGTTGTCGAATGTTGATGTGAACAACTTTTAACATGCTATCGGTTACTCACATTTAAACATGCTTAATTGTATTTATTCCTTTACTTATCAGCTATATTTAAGATATTTATGATACTGATGTACCAGAAAGTACAAGATACATATAAGTAGGGTTTACCATCAGCTAGAGTACCAAACGATGACGAGATGTCTTACGTTTATAAGTCTTATAAAGGAAATAATCTGTTCCTATTAAAGTGATATTTTCTACCATTTCTACAATGAGTTAACGGATATCTGACAAAATGACAATAGAAACGTTTGTGTCCTATTTACCTGATTGGATTACATATGTCTAACGGAGCACGCGCTAAAAAACATCCGAATACAAATAACAACATCAGGTTTATAAATATGCTATCAAACAGCTTCGATATATTTTTCACTTATGATTTTTTATTTATTTATTTATTTATCTATTTATTTATCTAAAATACACCTTTACGGTCTTTCAACCTGTCATACCTATAGAGCGACGGTGGATGGTATGCCGATTGCCTGGCGTCAGGACAAGTTGTCTCGATATCAGCTACACTGTCAAACCCTCTGTTTCAGACTCTAGATTTACGATACCGGTTATTTCCCTTTGCTGGTAATTCGGAGCTGTGTTAAAGTTCGTGAAATTGTTGTGTTTGCCTGGCTTTCTTTCACTAACACTGATTTATTTCGTATTTTGTTGTGTGTTTGATTCGATTTTAAAGCTCAGTGTTTCGAATGTCTTTGTGGTGTTTCCTTATACGTGGCAAGATATTTTGGAGTGAACCGTTTCATTGCAATGTATTTTTTTAACTAAATAATTTCTGTTTTGTCTCCATATTAGCATTCAGTGATAGAAGAAAAGAATAAATACCACACATTTTCAAATACCTATCTATACCATAAGTGTACATACTATTTTGACAGCTGACTTAATTAACTCGACACACAACACACAGTTTTGTAATACAGTTTTCCACACTTATGGAGACTAGGGCATCAGTGTTTTGTGGTTTTTACTTGAACAGTACAACAGGAGTTTTCGATATCACTCTCAAAAAATATCTAATTTTGTTTTAAACAATTTTATTCTTATGTCTTACCTAAATGTATATATATATATATATATATATGTTTACATTTAAATCGTTTCTGTGTTATTCTATTTCACATCATAATAAAGTGTGTTATTTAAAAGATTTAACGTGTGTGTGAATTTCTGTCCCTTCATTCGTTTTTAACCTCGAAATTAAGAAGGCCACAGCCACCCACATATAAACACATTTAAAAGCTTAACCTACAGTTGATGCTCTCTATTTCGTACACATTAATACAAAGTTTAAGTGCTTCGAAATACTAATATTGAAATAGTGTAAGTGTCCAAAGGGGTTCCACATCTAATTTAGCTTGTACACCAACAAATGTTTTATGTTCCTTTCGAGAAGTTAGAACCCATTTCCACTTCCTCTAATCTTAATTGTGTATGTGCTTATGTACATTATGTACATTTGCTTTCAGTGATCTCTTGAAGGTGATGAACTTCGAAAATTCGAACTTGGTCATCAATGGAAATTTATTAGAACATCTTTGTAATTAATTACAGATGTTAATTTCTCCAAACTTCTGATTTTGGAGTTAATAATTAACACTGTTATGCTATCGAACTTAATGGGTTTAATTTGATCGAGTAGTCATTGCTTAATAACACCAACAACACTTAGTATTCTTAATAATAATATTGCGGAAATTCTATAAGTAAACTAGTGCATGGTAAAGAGATAGCCCTTCAAAGTTCTCACAGCTGTGATGAAACGTGGTACTGTGATAGACCCTCGTGGAGTTCTCACAGCTGTGATGACACGTGGTAGTATGATAGTCCGTCGTGGAATGATGACACGTGGTAGTATGATAGTTCTTCGTGGAATTTGTCACAGCTGTGTGGACCTCTCACAGCTGTGATGACACGTGGTAGTGTGATTGTCCCTCGTGGAGTTCTCACAGCTGTGATGAAACGTGGTACTGTGATAGACCCTCGTGGAGTTCTCACAGCTGTGATGACACGTGGTAGTATGATAGTCCGTCGTGGAATTTTCACAGCTGTGCTGACACGTGGTAGTGTGATTGTCCCTCGTGGAGTTCTCACAGATGAGATGACACGTGGTACTGTGATAGTCCCTCGTGGGGTTCTCACAGCTATAATGACACGTGGTAGTGTGGTAGTTCCTCCTGGACCTCTCACAGCTGTGATGACACGTGGTAGTGTGATAGTCCCTCGTGGAGTTCATACAGCTGAGATGACACGTGGTACTGTGATAGTCCCTCGTGGAGTTCTCACAGCTGTGATGACACGTGGTAGTGTGGTAGTTCCTCCTGGACCTCTCACAGCTGTGATGACACGTGGTAGTGTGATTGTCCCTCGTGGAGTTCTTACAGATGAGATGACACGTGGTACTGTGATAGTCCCTCGTGGAGTTCTCACAGCTGTGATGACACGTGGTAGTGTGGTAGTTCCTCGTGGACCTCTCACAGCTGTGATGACACGTGGTAGTGTGATAGTCCCTCGTGGAGTTCTTACAGATGAGATGACACGTGGTACTGTGATAGTCCCTCGTGGAGTTCTCACAGCTGTGATGACACGTGGTAGTGTGATAGTCCCTCGTGGAGTTCTTACAGCTGAGATGACACGTGGTACTGTGATAGTCCCTCGTGGAGTTCTCACAGCTGTGATGACACGTGGTAGTGTGGTAGTTCCTCCTGGACCTCTCACAGCTGTGATGACACGTGGTAGTGTGATTGTCCCTCGTGGAGTTTTTACAGATGAGATGACACGTGGTATTGTGATAGTCCCTCGTGCAGTTCTCACAGCTGTGATGACACGTTGTAGTGTGGTAGTTCCTCCTGGACCTCTCACAGCTGTGATGACACGTGGTACTGTGATAGCCTTCGTGGAGTAACCACAGCTGTGATGACACGTGGTACTGTGATAGTACCTCGTGGAGTAACCACAGCTGTGATGACACGTGGTACTGTGATAGTACCTCGTGGAGTAACCACAGCTGTGATGACACGTGGTACAGTGATAGTCCCTCCTGGACCTCTCACAGCTGTGATGACACGTGGTACTGTGATAGTCCCTCGTGGAGTTCTCACAGCTGTGATGACACGTGGTAGTGTGATAGTCCCTCGTGGAGTTCTCACAGCTGTGATGACACGTGGTACTGTGATAGTCCCTCGTGGAGTTCTCACAGCTGTGATGACACGTGGTAGTATGATAGTCCGTCGTGGAATTTTCACAGCTGTGATGACACGTGGTAATGTGGTAGTTCCTCGTGGACCTCTCACAGCTGTGATGACACGTGGTAGTGTGATAGTCCCTCGTGGAGTTCTCACAGCTGTGATGACACGTGGTACTGTGATAGTCCCTCGTGGAGTTCTCACAGCTGTGATGACACGTGGTAGTGTGATAGTCCCTCGTGGAGTTCTCACAGCTGTGATGACACGTGGTTGTGTGATAGTACCTCGTGGAGTTCTCACAGCTGTGATGACACGTGGTACTGTGATAGTCCCTCGTGGAGTTCTCACATCTGTGATGACTCGTGGTAGTGTGATAGTTCCTCGTGGAGTTCTCACAGTTTAGAGAATACTTGTACCTTACCATATAATTGAGGAATGTTTTAACTTTCCATACTTATTATTCCTGCAACCAGTTTTATAACAAGGTTTTTGTTTTTTGTTTTTATTTTTTTTTTTTTTTTTTGTTTGTTTTGTTATAAAATTTATTTATACACTTGTATTTTGTTTTCAATATATAATTACACTGTGTTAACCGTACGCTACACTAAAATCTTTATCTCCTATGCCCTCTATCCTTGGAGAGATCAACGACACAACAAAAGCATGAAAAACACCCTCCCACTGCTGGGATTCGAACTAGCGACCCTTCGTCCTCCAGCCGGACACATTTGACTCACAAGTGAGATTTTTTTTTCTATTTTCAAGAAATAGAAATAATTATACATCATAATTTCCTTTTCCGTGTTGAATATTTTCCCTTCTGAATACTACTCTGTAATGTAAATACATCACTGAAAGGTCGTAGAAACACGAAGCAGAAAAACACAGCTTTATTCATGTTTTTCGTAATTACTTACTATTTATTACTTTTCTTTTCAAAGATCCATGTCTTTGTACATACCTAGTCAAATATGTGTGTACTAGTACACTGCTGCCCACGCCCACAACTCCTGGTTTGATATTCTTTATTCTTGAAAAGGTAATCGATGGAAAATCAATCGTTATCGTGTTAAGAACAAAATGTCCTGGACAAAATACATGATGATGAAAAGTTCAAAGAACCTTGTTATTGTCAAGGACATCCGCGACCTGTGCCGGTGCGCGCCTCTAGTATGTATCCAGGTATTCATCAAAGTGAATGAGGACGTAATTGATTGCGATGTTTAGTTTTATATATATCTTAGTTCCTGTGCTTCAAACGGACCGAAGCTTACAACATGCAACTGTTCTATATATATTCACCATGATTGTACCGCGGGGAAATTATTGGACACTGTGTTCGTGACAACGCTGATACGATTCTTGTGTCACGTGTCATAACAGGCCACTCTTGGGACCAGATTTAGTTCCAAAGTTGATGCTTTTTGCAAGTACCAATCACTCTATATAATCCTGAACAATGAGTAGTACAGTTGTTATCTCTAATGTTATGGTTTGATTTGAAATCGCAACAAGATTTCTATTAATAGTACATAATTTGTGTTTTCTTTTTCGCCATTTTCTTAACCAATAAGTGAAGTCGTAACATGATGTATTTACCAATGTTATGTTTTGATATTTCGAAATCTATACTCGATACTCCAGGGGTTACAATCACTACATACTCGATAATACAGGGGTTACAATCACTACATCCTCGATACTCCAGGGGTTACAATCACAACATACTCGATACTCAAAGGGTTACAATCACTACATCCTCGATACTCCAGGGGTTACAATCACTACATACTCGATACTCAAAGGGTTACAATCACTACATCCTCGATACTCCAGGGGTTACAATCACTACATACTCGATACTCCAGGGGTTACAATCACTACATACTCGATACTCCAGGGGTTACAATCACTACATCCTCGATACTCCAGGGGTTACAATCACTACATACTCGATACTCCAGGGGTTACAATCACTACATACTCGATACTCCAGGGGTTACAATCACTACATACTCGATACTCCAGGGATTACAATCACTACATCCTCGATACTCCAGGGATTACAATCACTACATACTCGATACTCCAGGGGTTACAATCACTACATACTCGATACTCCAGGGATTACAATCACTACATACTCGATACTCCAGGGGTTACATTCACTACATCCTCGATACTCCAGGGGTTACAATCACTACATACTCGATACTCCAGGGGTTACGATCACTTCATCCTCGATACTCCATGGGTTACAATCACTACATCCTCGATACTCCAGGGGTTACAATCACTACATACTCGATACTCCAGGGATTACAATCACTACATACTCGATACTCCAGGGATTACGATCACTACATCCTCGATACTCCAGGGGTTACAATCACTACATACTCGATACTCAAGGGGTTACAATCACTACATACTCGATACTCCAGGGATTACAATCACTACATCCTCGATACTCCAGGGGTTACAATCACTACATACTCGATACTCAAAAGGTAACTCCTGGAGAATCAGGGTACAGAGAGTGATATGCATTGTATGTCCTGGAGTGTCAGGTTGCAGAGAGTGATAATTTTCGTAACTACTGGAGTTTCAGGTTACAGAGAGTGATAGTCATCGTAACTCCTGGAGTATAAGGTTTCAGAGAGTGATAGTGATCGTAACTCCTGTAGTATTAGGGTACAGAGAGTGATAATTATCTAACTCTTGTGGACAAGACGAAAAGGCAAGTTTGATCATTTTTGTACATCAAAATGAATCTCGAAGTCGTATAGTCGTATATAATCTTCAAAAGGACGTAACAGCTTGTAATTTTTCAGTTTTCTGTCATGGAACCAATGAAATTACTTCACTTGTGCCTTCAAATTTGCCATGACATGTTCCAGTGATGCTGAGAGCGAAAGTGATCGTAACTCCTGGAGTATCTGGGTACGGAGAGTGATAGTGATCGGAACCCCTGGAGTATCAGGTTACGGAGAGTGATAGTGATCGTAACTCCTGGAGAATCAGGTTACAGAGAGTGATAGTGATCGTATCCCCTGGAGTATCAGGTTACGGAGAGTGATAGTGATCGTAACTCCTGGAGAATCAGGTTACAGAGAGTGATAGTGATCGTATCCCCTGGAGTATCAGGTTACGGAGAGTGATAGTGATCGTAACTCCTGGAGAATCAGGTTACAGAGAGTGATAGTGACCGTAACTCCTGGAGTATCAGGTTACAGAGAGTGATAGTGATCGTAACCCCTGGAGTATCAGGTTACAGAGAGTGATAGTGATCGTAACTCCTGGAGAATCAGGGTACAGAGAGTGATATGCATTGTATGTCCTGGAGTGTCAGGTTGCAGAGAGTGATAATTTTCGTAACTACTGGAGTTTCAGGTTACAGAGAGTGATAGTGATCGTAACTCCTGCAGAATCAGGTTACAGAGAGTGATAGTGATCGTAACTCCTGGAGTATCAGGTTACAGAGAGTGATAGTGATCGTAACTCCTGGAGTATCAGGTTACAGAGAGTGATAGTGATCGTAACTCCTGGAGTATCAGGTTACAGAGAGTGATAGTGATCGTAACTCCTGGAGTATCAGGCTACAGAGAGTGATAGTGATCGTAACTCCTGGAGTATCAGGTTACAGAGAGTGATAGTGATCGTAACTCCTGGAGTGTCAGGGTACAGAGAGTGATAGTGATCGTAACTCCTGGAGTATCAGGTTACAGAGAGTGATAGTGATCGTAAATCCTGGAGTATCAGGTTACAGAGAGTGATAGTGATCGTAACTCCTGGAGTATCAGGTTACAGAGAGTGATAGTGATCGTAACTCCTGGAGTATCAGGTTACAGAGAGTGATAGTGATCGTAACTCCTGGAGTATCAGGTTACAGAGAGTGATAGTGATCGTAACTCCTGGAGTATCAGGTTACAGAGAGTGATAGTGATCGTAACTCCTGGAGTATCAGGTTACAGAGAGCGATAGTGATCGTAACTCCTGGAGTATCAGGTTACAGAGAGTGATAGTGATCGTAACTCCTGGAGTATCAGGTTACAGAGAGTGATAGTGATCGTAACTCCTGGAGTATCAGGTTACAGAGAGTGATAGTGATGACAGAGAGTGATAGTGATCGTACCTCCTGGAGTATCAGGTTACAGAGAGTGATAGTGATCGTAACTCCTGGAGTATCAGGTTACAGAGAGTGATAGTGATCGTAACTCCTGGAGTATCAGGTTACAGAGAGTGATAGTGATCGTAACTCCTGGAGTATCAGGTTACAGAGAGTGATAGTGATCGTAACTCCTGGAGTATCAGGTTACAGAGAGCGATAGTGATCGTAACCCCTGGAGTATCAGGTTACAGAGAGTGATAGTGATCGTAACTACTGGAGTTTCAGGTTACAGAGAGTGATAGTGATCGTAACTCCTGGAGTATCAGGTTACAGAGAGTGATAGTGATCGTAACTCCTGGAGTATCAGGTTACAGAGAGTGATAGTGATCGTAACTCCTGGAGTATCAGGTTACAGAGAGTGATAGTGATCGTAACTCCTGGAGTATCAGGTTACAGAGAGTGATAGTGACCGTAACTCCTGGAGTATCAGGTTACAGAGAGTGATAGTGATCGTAACTCCTGGAGTATCAGGTTACAGAGAGCGATAGTGATCGTAACTCCTGGAGTATCAGGTTACAGAGAGTGATAGTGATCGTAACTCCTGGAGTATCAGGTTACAGAGAGCGATAGTGATCGTAACTCCTGGAGTATCAGGTTACAGAGAGTGATAGTGATCGTAACTCCTGGAGTATCAGGTTACAGAGAGCGATAGTGATCGTAACTCCTGGAGTATCAGGTTACAGAGAGTGATAGTGATCGTAACTCCTGGAGTATCAGGTTACAGAGAGCGATAGTGATCGTAACTCCTGCAGTATCAGGTTACAGAGAGCGATAGTGATCGTAACTCCTGGAGTGTCAGGTTACAGAGAGCGATAGTGATCGTAACTCCTGGAGTGTTAGGTTACAGAAAGCGATAGTGATCGTAACTCCTGGAGTGTCAGGTTACAGAGAGCGATAGTGATCGTAACTCCTGAAGTATCAGGTTACAGAGAGTGATAGTGATCGTAACTCCTGGAGTATCAGGTTACAGAGAGTGATAGTGATCGTAACTCCTGGAGTATCGGGTTACAGAGAGCGATAGTGACAGTGGAGTATCTAGAATGTAGCCTATTATGCTTTGTAGATAATTTCATTTTCTTGCTATGTTGTATTTCCGCTCATATTTACTTTGTTACACACAAAAAGTAAAACATTTACGAAAAATGTCTCATGATATTCAAATTTGGAGGAATTTCCCTGATGCATACTAAGATGTTTTTTAATACCAAACATTAAATCAATAGTTCTGATTTCAGAAAAACGTGTCATTATTTTACATGAAGTAAGGCAAGCGTGATTTAGTTAATTGCTGTGCCATGTAGGTGCCGATCAGCTGATTGAGTTTGTCCTGCTTCTCGACAACAGCGGCAGTCACTGTAAAATGTCGTTGTATAATCGAACCAACCAAATTTGTACAAGTTTTTTTTACGCATGAGCAACGTTTAAGTACAGACTGACCTTTTCTTAAATATATTTTCTGGTTAGTTTTATCGCCCCTACTTACCATTGCGAAAGTTAGAACCGTTTAAAACACGAAACAATGAAGGAATGGCGAAACATGTTGGAGGCTGATTCAGTTTGTATGACAGTACCGAAGCATTTGTCTTCATCAGGCGAGCTGAGACGTGGCCATTACACGGCTAATGGAATCATTATTCTCTGTGCTATTGAGTGATCAGGACATTCACGGGCAGTCACTCTGGTTAACCTTGTATTCAAAATGTCTTCTGATATTTTTTATAATGTAACTAAAGATGATTTATCCCACAGGGATGTAATTGTGAAAATTTCACAACTTCATTTAATTCTGCGAACAAAAAGATCTGGACGCGAGAAATCTGCTCAACTAAGCTGGACGTTAATGTAGTAGACAAAACGGGTAAGCAGTCTACAGACCAAGGATGAAATATTAAGGACTGTCTTGTAAAGTAGACTATGCTGGTTAAGACAGAGGACTAAAACAAGTTCGCTAACTCCATCTGCCTGCTGAAACGATTCAACGACCCTGGATTTTTTAATTGTTTTTAAATAGGTCTAAATCGAATGCTTAATGTATTATTTTGGTAAATGATTCATTATTTATATATTTATGTTAAATTGTCGTCATATATCTCTGAATCGTTAAATTTCAAATAGTCGGACGGTCTTCTGTCCACGAGACCAGACGATGTATCCCTATATACGTGATCCAATTTTAATACAGTGTCAGAATGTAGGAAATTTACAGATAACATCCTAACGTGTTACTGTACACTGCTAAGATTTAAATCTCTCCTTATATAATCGGAACGAAGCCAATATTTTGTCTCCTAGACACGGAAATAGCCTTATCAGCTTTTGTAAGCATGGCATTGATTGTCTAACATTGGGAAACTCGGCGTTAGTAAGCTGGTTAAGTTTAGAAGAAA